TGGGAGTGATGGTGCCGTCTGGGGGTCCAAGTGGGAGCCACAGGGTTAGGTGGATAGAGTCAAGGAGAGATGTCTGTGCGGACTGAACTCTTCCCCGCCGGACCGGGCCATACACTCTACCTCCTTCTGCTCCCTCATTTTGATAAGGGAAGAAACTGACAGGAGAAAAATGTACCCGACTTTAATCGAGGTGGAGCTGAACTGTTTGGTTGCTGCTGCAGAAACTTGCGATTGTGGGTTTGAGTTGGAGCCAAGCTTTGTTTTGAATTTTCGCCCACTGAAACATTTTGAATTTACGTTCACTAACAGGTTTTGAATTTTCTTTGACTAAAACTAGATGTCCTTCAAAAGTGACCAAAATGTGACTAAAACTAATAAACATTTTCGTCCATTAACACGGCAACACTGGAAATGTGTCTGCGACAGAGAAATAGTGTAAAGTCGTTGGGTGTGAGGCCACATTCAGATTAATACGATATTAAAGAGAGAAGAGCAGAAACACAGTGGAGAAGCTGCTGAGAGTTTTGTGCTAAATATTCATGGTTTATATTTGACATTATTCACCATCACTAGCTTCTTATTTTTTTTTTGACAGAAACAAAAAACTCTGTCGCTGCAGTTTCATCATATTGTTCTGTGTCCATTTAAATCAGTGCTGTTGTAAGGATCGCTCTCAGTCTGTGTCCTGTCAGATTCTGACATTTGTTTTTTTACAAAAATCTTTGAACTTTCTTTGCATTAATTCCTTTTATCTATGCACAGATTTTTGTACATGTTGAAAAAGACTCTTACATGTGACAAGCTTTAATAAAACTGAGACAGTTTGCAGACGATCCCATCAGTTCTCAGATGGATTTAGTTTCACTTAATTTCTGTTGGAAACGAACCAGCAGAGACTTAAGAGCCTCGTGTCTTTGTTCACTGTGTGGTGACGTCGATGAACCGGTTGATTGTTTTGAGAAGTCTGGACCGTGTCAACACACAATGATAACTGTGGCAAAGATCCAACTGACATGACTTTGACGGGAACTGCAGGGACGGAGAAAAAGGAAGTGAGGAGGGAAAAAAGCAAGAAAGGACGGATGGGAAAATAATAATAAAGGAGCGACTGGATGTTTCCAGCGTCCGTCAGCAGTGGGACTCTGGTCACCAGAAATGTCCATGTTTGGTCGACTAGCGGAGCCACATCTGGACTCCTCTGAGCCTGGCACGTAAAAGAAACATAATTCACAGCTGGGCAGCTATCGGTCGGAAAATGCAGACAGATTTCTCTCCATGCTTCCCTCGCTTTTTTCCTTTCTTTGTAAAAGTCATGGTCACAACAGAGTGGAGATGTAAGAACGAGACTGAGGAGGACAGAGGGACAAATCTGTGGCTGCTGTCAACCTTTAGTTTCACATCAACATGGAGCCAAAGGCTGAACTCTAAATGTCAATAAAATGTGTCCAAAGCCTTTTTATTATTCAGGCTTTGATCTGAGCTTGTTGGTATTTTTGGATGCTGTAAAAATGTAAGTTTGCCTTCAGCTCAGACCACAGTGGTTTTATAAGGAGAGCAATGATTGTTACTTTGGTGATCCTCTGACTTTTTCTCTAGCGCCATCATCAGGTCAAACTTCCAATAGTCCCAGAGGAGAACTCAAAGTTTGGGCACCCCGAGACATTTGAGCTGTCACACAACTTTTCCCAGGGTCTCCCAGGGACCTTAATGAGCTTGTTCACAGTAATCATTAGGAAAGGACAGGTGATGCTCATTTCAAAGCTTTATCCTCTGACTCCTGAAACCTTGTCCCAACAATCGCAGCCATCGGCTCCTCTAAACAGCTGCCTAGCTCTCTGAAAACTAAAAGACCTGATGAAGACTAGAAGAAGATAGCAAGGTGTTTTCAGGGAGCTGTTTCCTCAGTTGGTCATGTCATTAAGAAATGGCAGTTAACAGGAACTGTGGAGGTCAAGTTGAAAACTGAGAGAGCTGCTCGTAGGATTGTTAGAAAGGCAAATCAAACCCGTTTGACTGCAAAAGACCTGCAGGGACGTCACATGAAACATGTCGAAAATAAGCAAATTCTGAATGTCTGATCGATTAACAATGTTTATTTATTATTCTTAATTAGGACTGTGACTCTATTCAAATGACAGATTATTATTTCCCTGGCAGATCATTTTGTTTTCAGACACTGACTGTTGGGCAACCAGTCAACCATCGTGTGTGTGTGTGTGTGTGTGTGTGTGTGTGTGTGGTCTGTTTAAGACATCATCTGTTCCAACACAAACCCCATCTTTAACCAGGGTTTAACTCCGTTATCTGACTTTTGCTTCAGAGCAAAACATCTCAACACGTGCTGGTCACATGGAAAAAAAAAGAAAAAAAAAAATCAGCTGTGAATATTAATCGTTTCCCTTTGGTGACCTCCTGACCTTTCCTCTAGCGCCACCCTCAGTGCAAAAGTTCCCTCTCTACACAAGAAACTTGTCGTCCTCGGAATCAGCTGCACAAAAACAAAAGGTCAGAAATGCCTCGATCTCCTTCCTGTTCCTCAGAGGATGAACCCTTCATGTTTTTGATGACCTTGTAAGGTTTCCTCTAGCGCCACCACCAGGGCAAATGTTCCCCCTCTACATAGTTAACTCGTCCTATGAATCAGCTTTTGCACAAAATCAAAATGTCAGAAATGCCTCGATCTCCTTCCTGCTCCTCAGAGGATGAACTTTTACATTTATAAATGACCTCATGAAGTTTCCTCTAGCACCACCATCAGGAAAACTTTACACCGTTTCGACTGAATCCTATTTACATATTAATTTATGTCACGCCGGTGAGTTGCATCACTAACTTTGCTCTGGTTGCTGTTTTCCTGTTTCAATACCACCTCCACCACAACTCACACGTCGTCCCTCCCTCCACCCTCCAGTCCCGACCCTCCACCCCCAGCATTGTCCAATAAACCCCAGCTGCAGCCCAGCCAGGGCCCTGCCCATTGTTCCCACAGCACTCTGCTAATACGAACCAAAGAAAGACAAAAAAAGGATGAAACTGAAAAAAGCTTCAGAGAGGACGAGACACCAAAACACAAAGAGAAAGACAAAAAAGAGGGCAGGAGGGAGCTCTGTGAAACATATAAGAAACTACTGCAGGAGAGGAGGAGGGTGGATGAAGTGACGGTGGAGTCTCGGGTGAAATGCCGCAGGTTTGGCATGACTTTACACATCCTGAGCCGCCATCACAGCTCCAATAAACACGACTGACGCACACAGAGAGGCTGTTTGGGTTGGTCCTGCAAGTTTAGAGACAAAAAACAACAACAGAAACCTCATCCTGCCCGACGACCGCGACAGCTTCATTTAACATGCCAGTTACCAGGGTCAGCAACAGGAATGTCCTGCAGTCGGCCCTTCACCCCCCCACTCCTCCCCACGCTGAGAGGTCAGGGCAGATAACTACCACAACAACTCAGGAGAGAAAGAAGAAGAAACACTCTGTGCCCTCAGCCTGCTGGTGCCGCTCCTGACGGCAGCGGCTCGACCGGAGCAGTTTGTTCTCGTTTGTAGTTCCAGGCAGGAAACCACAGCAGCCACTGATGAGCACATGAGACCTCAGCCAGTGTCTGCTGAGCACCACAGGGATCTGGACTCAGAGCAGATCAACCCCGAAGATGATCCGAGCGACAACCAGCTCCAAATCTGCTGCTAATTCCCAAGCAGGGAAATAAACAGGACTCATCAGTCCAAGCCGACACATTCATGACTCAGCCAGCAAATACTGTCAGATAATAACTGATAATTATTACTTATAGATCAACTTCATGACTCAGACTCTTAAATTACAACTTACACACACACACATGAGATCAAAAAGTGTTATAATTAAATTCAATTATAACTTTGTAGGTTGACTCATGTAGCTCGGATCAATAGAGATGTTACAGGTCTGCAGGTCACAGTCTGAATAGTCTGGAACGTTCATTAGCAGCACTGTTGGAATATATTGCAGGTCGAAGACATGGCCCTAAAATAATATCAGGATATTTCAGGGTATTTTTGCGATAATGACATTCTTGATGATATGACAAATTAGTATGTTTTTTAATTAATTTAAGAAGATAGAATATCAACAGAATCAGTGATGTAGTTTCACAGTTTGCTTCAAATCTTCAGTAAAAACTAAAATGATGTTTCATGTCTTCAGTTTGTGAACAACAACAGTAACTCAGAGTCAGATTCAGATCCTGTCACAATATTAATAGTTCAACTAAATCAAATCTACCACTAATTACACATTTAAACAAATGTCCCCTGGGATCTATATATATAAATCAACAGCTGATTTCCTTCTCTGTTTTTATGCTCTGCCATTTCTCCTCTAACCACCAGGCTGTAACCTGTGACAGGCTGTTATGAGACAGTCACATATATGGAGTTTATTCACGTAGGTTTCCATCACCAAAGGTTTGTGACAGAATCAGAGAGGAGAGGGAGAGATGCTGTGCTGCTGCCAGAGGAGCCGCTGAATGAGTTCCCTCTGAGCGCTAAGAGAAGGAAAACATTCAGGACGCCACACTTTATTCCACACTACTGAAGCTGCTCCTCTTTTTACTGGAACCACAGAGGAGTAGTTAGCTGCTAACTGCTAACAGCTACTGTTTAAATCCTCCGCAGTGGGTCGCACACATAACACATTGTCAAAATGTCACACCTGTCCTGCGCATAGTCCCGTCCTGCCTGGTGTCCTGTTTATACAGACATTGTTTTCATACCTGTGATGCCGGCTTAAAGGCAAGGCAACTCTGTCCCTCCATTCCGCAACTTCCCTACCCGGCAACAGAAAACATCATCTGTCTAAAAATACCAGACAGCAACTAACAACTTATTTAAACATCCTGATGTTGATTCGGCACTGATCCAAACTTTAGTCCAACAGCTGGACATCTGAAGAAAGAAGCAGTAAAAACTGGAACACAACCAAAACACGACATCAGTGAACAATAGAACTTTGAAACTCACCGGCCACGCGAAGCTGAACGGCAACACAATCCTGTCTTTGTCACTCTTGGCATTGCGTAAAGAAAAGGTATTCCCACCGAGCACAGGCGTGGTGGCGATGCCGAAGCTGCAGGGCCCGGCCGAGGAAACCTTCAGCTGGTACTCCTTCAGACACACCCGGAAGTAGGTGTCGCATTCGTCAGCCGTGCATCGCCGATCCGTCGCATCCCGGGGTCCGTCACAGCAGGCGCCAGTCTGCAGCTGCCCGTTAATGTTCTGCATCGACAAGATCTGAAGCTCAAAGTGTCCTGAAGCTGAAGAGACCTGCGGAGAGGATCGACAGGTGAGTTCACGACAGGTAGAGGAACAAATAAAGCACCAAGACTCCACCGTACAGCACGGTGATTATCGTACACTGAAACTTAAAAAAACGCAGGGAAAAATATCATCGTACACTGAAACTACAAAAGTGATTTCTACAGTGGCCCAAAGGATCAAAATAAAACATTTCAAACAACACTTAATCACTCCTGGTTCTTAAATGTGAATTGTGAGAAAGTTTAAAGACCAAATATATTCAACAGTTTAACTTTAGAAAACCAGGGCTGTGGGTAAAAAAATCTATGCAGCATATTATTATTATTGCATGGCAATGACGTATCAATACACGGACGCCAAGTATCAGTCTTTATCATAAACATTATTCATTTTTGCAAATACACATTTTGTTACAAGTTTTAGTGCTAGAATAATAAAATCAATGTATTTTCCTGTCCACTAGATGGTGCTGATGATTTGCTTCCTGGTGAGGTCAGCAGAGGTCTCAGGCAGCGCCGTTTGGCAGGAAGTTCATCAAAACAAAGATGGAGGCACCGAGACAGAAATCATAAAATCAAACGTCTGGACTTATTTGGGATTTTCTAACACAGAAGGAGGACTTGGATATGACACATGTGAATTAGAGCAGTGTCATATGAGAATAATATACTGTGGGAATACTACAAACATGTCCCCTCACAGGCCACCATCCGGTGATAGTGTTAGCCGCTGACGGCCACGCTAACACTAAACCCGCTCTGCTGAAAAACACAACCAACACTGAACACACTGAGCTCGACACAACTACCATCAGAAAACAGCACAGTCCATCACCTACTTCCTGTGCAAAGATGTAGACTGCTGTCTCACGTCCTCCAAACTCGAGCACAGGTCAGTCTGTCTGCTCCGTGTCACATCAATAAAAATGATTAAAGTCGATGAACAATCTGAAAACTTTATCTTAAGAGATCAAACTGATGTTGACAAAGTTTTCCTTAGTGGAAATAATTTGCAGTTGGAAAAAAAGGTAATAAATCGCAATACCCATATCGTGGGTCCTCTGGCGATTCCCACCCCTGAGTGTGATGTCACTCTCACTTAAAACTGAAGCAAAACAGTGACCTTGATTAACAGCAGTTTGTGGCCTGTGCAGTGCACAAGCCCAAAACAGACAAAATCAAATGGAGTCTACATCCTTAATAGAGATGCACGGTGGAATCGGCACATCATCGGCATCAGCCAACATGCTTTTTCTTATTGTGCACAATAAATGAATATTACACACACTGAACAGTGTTGTATTTCATGTCTCCATCTGCTGGTGGGCCATCACGCTGAGAGTATGTATGTATAATATGATGTTAATTCCACTACAGAAGAGACTTGATGATGATCACTGAAATTAGGTGGGGAAAAAATGGATATATAGATATTGGTTATCAGCCAAATAAGTTGTTATATATTGGCAAAATATCCAATATCGTGCATCCCTGATCCTTACAGAGCGAGAGTCCCGTTCAAAAAGACAAATCTATTTATTAATGGTCTCTTAAATTTCTCAACTAACGTCTAAATTCAAAGTTAAACCCCTGAATCACTGCTGTCAGAGCAGACGGAGGAGCTAAAGCAACATCTGGTTTGTAAAGCATCAAACTCTGTTTTTTTTAACCCATTAAAGACACTTATTTGAGCACAGTTCACCTGCATGTGAATCACTTCACACTCAGGACAAATCACGTCCTGCCAAATAAAAAAGGAAAAAAGTTACATTTATAACTCATCAGCTCACTGATTCTGTTATAATGGATTTAAGTAGATCAAATAAATATGATTTTAAAAAAAAAATTCTATCTGCTTTTATTTTTTAACTTGTAAAACCTGCCCTGTTTCAGGAAACAGCCTGACAGAAATTCACAACTTCAAACTATCAAAAATGTGTTAATTGAAAGAATGAATGTTGTGGCTGAAATAACATCTAATGAATGTTTGCTCAGTAGAATAAATGGTGATGAGGAGGAAGGAGTGTCCCCGTGGGGCCGGTTATGGACTCATATCAACACAGAATGAAGGCCTATATGATGATGAACCTGCTCTGTGACTGTGTGACACTGCAGAGTGACGTATGAAGACACGTGTGTGACATGTCATTGTTTGTTAGTTTCCTTCTCTTCCCTTCCAGACTTATCTATTATTATTGTTATTATTATTATTATTATTACTATTATTATTGTTTTTATGTACTGGAGTCCACCTCCATACAAATATGTGCCTTGTATTCATGTGTGCCCAGAAAATAACACACACACACACACACACACACACACACACACACACACACACACATATATATATGTATCATTTCCCAGCATTACCAAAGAGAACAAATCAAAAACTGCATAAATAATTAATAGGTTTTACCCCAGTTCTCAAGAATGAGCATTTATGAATGTTTAACTGATACTCTCATCAGTCAGAATGAGGAATGAAAACAGGAGGTTATTGTTGGTTAAACAAACTAAATTAAATTTAAAAAACCATTTTGTTGATGCATGTTTGTGTGCAAAGTCTCTCCTGAGAAAATAACTAAAATAAAGGGAGACTTTCCGTCCAGATGCATTTCCTACCCCCAATATTGCAGATAAATAAATGTACACGGTTTGATAAGCATCAACTTTTATATCACAGTGTACCTCTAAACCGGTGTATCACTGCAACCATGAATGTAACTGGTGTTGATTCAGTGTGAGAGCAGCCTGACGAGCATCAACACACTCACAGGACTTTTTAAAGCTGTGTTATCGCTTCAAAGTTTCACCAGCTGCAGTTAAAGATCATCATCAACATCAAGAGGAACTATTTAAAGCCCAAATGTTTCAGCTCACTTTGACTTGACACAAGTTTTCCTAAATTTTGTGGAACAGCTGATTTATGAAAAAGCATAAATCTATATAATGTCCTGCAGACCCTGAGAGCAGGAGCCCACAGCTCTGCAGGCTGCAGTCTGAACCAGACTCTGGGTACCTGGATGCGGGCGGAGAGCAGCAGGAGCTGCAGGCTGAAGGCGGCGCGGAGGAGGACGGAGCTCCGTGTGAGGGTCATGCCGGCGGCGGGCTGCTGCCTGGCGGCTGTCGGGGCTCAGTGATAGTCGGTGCGACCCTCCGCTCCGGGTTTGAAGCCCTCCGGATGGGACATGCACAGCTGCAGCGTCTCTCCCTCCAGATATCTCCACGACAGGAAGCAGGAGCCGTCCTGCCTCGGTCCTGCACCGGAACCTTTTGTCTGCTTCAGTCCAGCTACTTTTCTCTGGGTACTCCCTCTGAGCGCCGCGTGCACACCGACTGACTGCAGCTGAAACACGGACAGCGCTTTGACGAGCCCCCGGAGGAGGCTGGGTAATATCCACCGACGAGGGGCGGGGCCAGAGCACTAGCCACACCCACTGCTGAATATGAATGAGCAGCGGTTTGTTTACAGTCAGTTGACACGGAGGTGCAGAAGTGGCTTCACACATGGAGGCCAAAACCCCCAAAACTGACATGAGAGGAGTTTAACGCCTGAATGATAATTATAGAAACAGCAGAAGAAGAAAGTCAGAGCTGAGGATGTTTGAATTATTACCCAAATACTGCACGTATGTCTCACTCTGTCTGGAACTTCCTCAGTAGTGATGCGACTGGTACGGAGGCTCCGAAGTGTCAAAAAAAAAAATCAACCAAACCCAAAATATTTTCTTTTCATTCAACACACAAAGTCTATGATGTAAAGTGCTCAAAAGTCCTGGACATTAAATATACTTCTTCTATTCAAAGGGACAGTGTGCAACATTTTCAGCTGTTCATTGGCAAAAGTCCATGTCTGCATTCATAAACATGTCATCACTGGTGCATCATCACCTCCACCAATAATCTGACTTATTCTCGTAAAAGGAGAATTTCAGATTTGTTTGTACATTGTGCGGGTAAGTCTTCTGGAGGGTTCCATAATGTTTCGCCATCTTGAAAATACCTCCACCAGTGAGGGACACACAGCCCCGCCTTCAGCGTTTTCGTTGAGAGCCAGGCCAGCGCTGCGTGACTGAGGAGCCGAAGGAGAGGAGCAAGAGGCGCTTCACTATGATCCTGGCACTACTGCAGCATAACACAGTCCCAGTCTCTGAGCATAATTCAGGATCATGCACATGCAGCATCACGGGACACGGAATCCTCGTCGCCAAGAAAGCGCAAAAGGGAATCAAAAAGGCAACGTGAGCGGCGAATTCAAAAAACGAGGGTCAACATCGGGGCAGCCTTTCCCAGGTGGAGAGAGCTGCTGAAGGAGAAAGGTTTAAAAAGGGACACTGACGTTGCCTGCTTTCTTCTCGACAGGTAAAAAACTTTACTGCCTAAATGAGCTCCCCTCCTCCTCCTCCTCCTCTTCCTCCTCCACGCCTAGCTCCTACCGATCCTCTGCCTCTCTGTCCTCTCCCTACCGATCCTCTGCCTCTCTGTCCTCTCCCTCTCTCTCCTGCTGCAGGCGTTGAATCACCAGATGAAGATCAAAATATAAATGAATAATGTAACCCGACTAATTAGTACACAGTTCATGCTTGTTACACTCTGAGGATCACACAGTGTCGTAGAGCAATATCAGCACTTTGGGGACATTTGTTTGTGTTCGTTAGCAAGTTGCCAACCACACACACACACACAGCGCAGCGCAATATAAATCACTATCTTGCTTCTTGGTACACTGTGGCTTTAAAGGATTTTTTTTAAGGGATAGTGCACCCAAAAATGAAAATTCAGCCATTATCTACTCACCCATATGCCGAGGGAGGCTCAGGTGAAGTTTTAGAGTCCTCACATCACTTGCGGAGATCCAAGGGGAGAGGAGGTAGCAACACAACTCCACCTAATGGAGGCTGACGGCGCCCCAGAAATGAAGATTTTTATTTCAGTGCTCTGTGTAGAGTGAACTTTCAAAGTAAAAGCCCTCTGCGGGGTCTCGTGTCATCCACAGATTCCTGCAGTCACTGTCGAAATAACCACCTGATGATGTCACATCAGCACCTTCATCACCACAGAATAAGATTCAGGTATTTAAAAATCAAAAATGTAAAAATGACACAAACCTTATTAAGTGCAAGCGTCATGAATATTTCTATTCCAACAGAGAGATCGTGTTAAAGAGAAAATACCAAGAGACGGTGACGGATACACAGAATATAGATTGTTTTTAATATTTAATTTGTATAATAATTTGAGAAACATAAAGACAGCAGAGAGGGCAGATCTCTAAATGTGTGGATGGTGATAGCAGAAAATATGAAATTAAAAGAATGCAACCCACTGTATAAAATAAAAGATGAGATCATGACAAAAGATTATGTAAATCTGGAGCGAAGTATCCAAACGTGGGGAGTGGAGGAATGAAAGGAGGCAGCGGAGGGGCTGATGGGAGGAGGGGGGAGGGGCTGATGGGAGGAGGGGGGAGGCGGTTGAGGTGGTTGATGTTTCTTCATGAAATAGAGCCTGAGCGACAGAACAAAGGTGGCCTCCTCTTTATTCTCAAATTAGAGCAGCTGGGCTCTTTTCCCTCGAGGAGCCCCATGAATAGATTATTGGACCACTGTCACTAAAAGACAGACAAAACACCCCCCCACCCCTCCTTCCTCACCCCCCATCACCCTAACCACCAGCCCCGCCCCCACCCCCCTCTGCTGCGGCCATGATCAGAAGGACCCCCGAGCCCCTTGAAAACCACAAGGACCTGACTGTGGACCAGGTTTGAGGTCCAGACGTTCCCCGTTGTCACCTTCGATTCTCCTGGTCTCTGATATACTGACATTTCTAAGCTTGTGGGTTGTCCACGGCTGCAGATGATGGATAATAAATAAATTACATCAAAAATATAATGAAACAAAATCTCAGTGACCACACGTTTCCTCTCCGACTCTGCTGCTGATGATGAACTGAAAGGCAAGGAGGCAGCTAAGGCAGCAGCCAAGAACCGAACTCGTAAAATACTGCCGCCATGTCAGTGGATGTTTGTGTCAGACACCGATGCACCAGAC